CTCAGCAATAGCCCAGGCCTGATTGTCTGCTGGCTGTACTCTCTGCTGCTGATGAGAGGTATGCGGGGGGAGGGTCTCCACCACCCAATCTCTTCCCAGTCCTTTGGGGATGGGAAATGTAATCCCCACCAGCCGGGGTCTGCACACCATGGGAAAAACCACCACTGGGTGAGGGGTTTCTCCCCATCCCCCACCCCGCCTGCCCAGAGCTGGTCTTAGATCACCCTAGCCCTCCATCTCCAAGGGGGGAATTTCAGCTCAGCTCCCAGCTGCGGGGCGGGGTGTGAAAAGACCCTTTGTGGGGACTTCCACCCCTGCCCCACGCCTTGCACGTCTTCCTGCCCCACGCCTTGCAGAACCCAGCTGGGGTTCCCGTGCCGGGCCAGGGGTGCATTCTCACCTCCTACCACCCCTCTCAGAGAAGGACAGCTAGGGAAGAGGCAGGCCTGAGTAGATCCCACCCTGGCTTGCTGGGCTACAGCACGGGAGGAACAGAAAGCCGCGCCCCCCCAGGATTTTTCCTGTCCTTTACTGACTGGGGCTAGGGAATCCTGTGGGGTCTATTTCTCCTCTTTTCCCTCAGCCCCGTCCCACCAGGCTGACGGGCAGGAAGCAGGCTGGTATGCTAGCTGGAGGCAGGGCCAGCCCTGCTCCACTGGAGCAGGGAGTACGGCCCCAGCTGCAAGGCATCCTGGGATGCTGGGGGTCTGTGAGTTAACTTGAAGTGGGAATCAGAAAATTAGGGTTGGAAGGGACCTCAGGAGGTTAGAAGGGACCTCAGGAGGGACCCCAACTAGATCATCCCAGCCAAGGCTTTGTCTAGCTGGGCCTTGAAAACCTCCAAGGATGGAGATTCTACAACCTCTCTGGGTAACCTGTTCCAGTGTTTTGCTAAACTAGTGAGAAAATTCTTCCCAATATCTTACCTAAACTTCCCTTGCTGCAATTTGAAACTATTGTTCCTTGTCTCTGTTATCTGCCATCACTGAGGACAGTCTAGCTCCATCTTCTTTCAAACCCCTTTCAAGTAGTTGAAGGCTGCTATTAAATCCCCTCTCAATCTTTTCTTCTCTAGACTAAATAAGTTCAGTTCCCTTAGCCTCTCTCATCACAATCATGTGCCCCAGGCCCCTAACCATTTTTGTTGCCCTATGCTGGACTCTCTCTAATTTTATCTACATCCTTTCTGTGGTGGGGGTCCCAAAATTGGACACAGTACTCCACACATGGCCTCACCAGTGGTGAATAGAGGGGAATAATTACTTCACTTGATCTGCTGGGGACACTCCTACCAATGCAGCCAGGTATGCTATTAGCCTTCTTGGCAACAAGAGCACACTGTTGGTGCATTGGAAGGGAGCTGGGACAGAAGTTCCATAAATCAGTTTGACCTAAAGCAGTTAAGTCTGATACTACATCCATCCATATTCATCTTAAACCAGTTTTGGCCATTTTGAGAGTGGTTTATAACCACCCCATTTTGCAGTACAGAAACAA